CCCTTTGGCCTTTTCACTGTTGGCAGGTGTTTGTGTTAAAGATTTCTCATTCCTCCTGTTTTCTCCCTTTCATAACTAGCAAGATTTAGCCTGGGAAATATTTCAAACATCTCCTATGTAATTTTGTTCAACTCATTTCAGACCAGGATAAGGGTAAGAACACCAAATTTACTTGGGAAAGAGAGTTAATTGTGCTCAGTAGTAAATTTTAAATGGAGATATTTGTATCTAAAGTCTTTTTATTCTGTTTGATGTCACTGGATATAACAGGTGATAGGTGTAAGCTGCTTTTCATTCATTTGAGCTACTATATTTCCTTTGGAGTCTCATCTGAGTTAGTAATTAGCACTGGATTTGGAATGTAAAAGCCAAGTAGGTCACTGTAATTGTAAATAATAATTGAAGCTGGCTAGGTGGGTAAGATAGTAGGTAAGTAGTAAGACTGCGACAGACTAAGCGAATGCCCCATTTTTAGAGGAGGCAGCTGATCAGCTGATTATTCCCGTAGGAGAATACAGAGTCATTGTTGCCAAATGCAAACTTCTGTGTCCCCTCCAACCTGGTTTTGTTTTGTTTTGTTTTGTTTTGTTTTTTGTTTTGTTTTTTTAAAGTAAGCTCTCTACCCAGTGTGGGGCTTGAACTCATGACCCTGAGGTTGAGAGTTGCATGCTCCACCGACTGAACCAGCCATGTGCCCCTTACCCCCACCCCTTTTTTTGTCCCAAGGAAAGCTGCAATTCTCTATCCTTATGTGAACATCTTGGCTTAAATATTAGAACTAATTAATATTTTTATGTAAATAAATATATACACAGGGACACACATAACCAATCATATGTATATAGCGTATGTGTGGTGTTTATGTGTGTATAAGCTCTTTTTTAAAGTTTATTTATTTAAAAATTTTGTTCTTTAATATTTATTTTTGAGATAGAGAACAGGGGAGGGGCAGAGAGAGGTGGGGGGGGGCGGACAGAGGATCTGAAGCAGGCTCTGCACTGTCAGCACAGAGCCTGATGCAGGGCTTGAACTCATAAACCACGAGATCATGACCTGAGCTGAAGTCGGATGCTTAATCGACTGAGCCACAGAGGTGTCCTGGAAGTTTATGTATTTTTGGGGGGGGGGGGGGAGGAGCAGAGAGAGGGTGGAGACAAAGGATCCAAAGCGGGCTCCATGCTGACAGCAGAGAGCTGGATGTGAGGCTTGACCCCACAAACCGTGGGTTTTATGTATATATTTTTAACTAACCAACCAGCTGTAGGGACAAAGCTTGGCCCATGGACTTTGAGTTTGCAAGCCGTGGACTAATTCCTATGGTGTGATCTCCTCAGTTGATTTTGAGTCATTCTGTTACCTTGAGTACTATGTAATGGGATCAGAATTGTAGGATTCATTTTGATGAGCAAAGTATAGGTAGTAGAAACTGGTTTCCCCAGGAGTTTGGAGGTTTTTTTGTTTTGTTTTTGTTTTTGTTTTGTTTTGTTTTTTTAATGTTTATTTTTGGAAGAGAGGGAGTAAGAGTGTGAGCGGGGAGAGGCAGAGATAGAGGGAGACAGGATCAGAAGTGGGCTCTGCACTGACAGCAGAGAGCCCCATGGGGGGGCTTGAATTCACAAACCATAGGATCATGACCTGAACCAAAGTCAGGTTCAACCAAAGGCTTAACCACCTGAGCCACCCAGGTGCCCCAGGGCTTTTGCGTTTAGTATTAAACAATATATAGCTTACTAGCTTACTAAAATTATAGATAACAAGAATCGCTCATTCCAGTACTGTCTTTTTTGACCACTGATAAATTTATATTACTGTATGTTTAGTTCAATATATTATTCTCTCTAGATAGCAAATTGATTACAGAAAGGAATGTAAAAGAGCAATTTGAAGTAGGGAGACTCTGGAAGGTTGTTTGGATTCTGATAGAAGAAACCCTGCACAGCAGATATGAGTGGGAAAACATGGTATCCTCCATGGTAACAGGTTAATGGACAAACCAGAGATACTTTGACAAATGTCTTTCAACACCTCAGTTCAGGGTTTGTGTAGCAGGTTTGTGTTACAAAATGGCAGCCGTTGGTGTTTTGATGGATGAATCCAGCAGTGAACTTGGGTGTTTTAGGTAGGCTGTTACTTTCCACTCTTCCCTGTTATCTTGACTTCATTTATTAATGTAATCTGTCTACCCCTCATGGAGATTTGAGTTTGTAAGGTCTGCTCAGGAGTAGATGTATACTTCGATAGGGTTATTTTAACCCTTTATATCAGTTACATGATTTACAAATATTTTCTCCCATTTTATATGTTGCCTTTTCACTGTGTTGATTATGTCCTTTGAAGCACAAAGGTTTTAGGTTTGATATAGTTATTTTGCCTGTTTTTGTTTTCCGTGCTTGTGATTTTGGTATCATATCTAAGAGATCATTGCCACGTCCAGCATCATGAAGCTTTTCCCCTATATCTTCTCAGAATTTTATAGTTTTAGGTCTTATATTTAGGTCTTTAATCGTTTTAAATTAATTGTTCCAGGGACGCCTGGATGGCTCAGTTGGTTAAGTGTCCGACTTCGGCTCAGGTCATGATCTCGCAGTTTGTGGGTTCGAGCCCTGCGTTGGGCTCTGTGCTGACAGCTCAGAGCCTGGAGCCTGCTTTGGATTCTGTGTCTCCTTCTCTCTCTCTTCCTCCCCTGCTCACACACACATACACACACACTCTCTCTCTTTCTCTCTCTCTCTCTCTCTCTCTCAAAAATAAGTAAAGATTAAAAAAAAATTTTTTTTAATAAAAAATAAGTAAATTAATTAATTGTTCCATGTGGTATAACATAAGGGTCCAGTTTCATTCTTTCACTTGTGGATATGTAATTTTCCCTGTGTCATTTTTGAAGACACTGTCCTTTCCCCATTGAGTGGTTTTGGCACCCTTATCAAAGATCATTTGACCATATGAGGGTTTATTTCTGGGCTCTCTATTCTGTTCCATTGGTCTGTTTGTCTTTATGCCAGTACCATACTGTTTTAATTATGGTAGTTCTGGAATAATGTTTCAAAATCACAAAGTATGTGTTCTCTAGAATTTTGTTTTTCTTCTTTTTCAAATTTGTGTTGGCTCTTGAGGATCTCTCAAGCCTCTACATGAATTTTAGGATGAATTTTTCTATTTTTGTAAAAAATGCCCTTAGCATTTTGATAGGGATTATAATGAATCTGTAGGTTGCATTGAGTAATGTAGACATCTTAACAATATTAAGTCTTCCAGTCCAGGAGCATGAGGTTTGTTTTTATTTATTTGTGCCCTCTTTAAATTCTCTTAGCTGTGATTGGTAGATTTCATTATGCAAGTCTGACCTACTTGGTTAGGTTTATCCCTAAGTACTGTTTGTTTGTTTGTTTGTTTGTTTTTTTGATGCTATTGTAAGTGGAATTGTTTTTTTTAAATTTCCTTTTTGTTAAAGCAATGTACTCTTAATGCACCTTAGTTTTTCTTTTCGTCTATGAATGGTTCTTTACTGTTATATTCATGACATCTATTGTATAACTGAGATTAAATGATGGTTCGTAGTATAGTCCTGAGAATGCACAATATTGTTTTTCTCTAAAATTATCTTGGGCAGTTCTCAGGCTATAGATACAAATACCACATAAACAATTGATACAGTGCATCAACAAGTGTAGAAAACCATCAAAAAGGATGACACTAAGTTTTCTGGAGATTTGTTCTTTTTCCATTTTACTGAGGAAACTTTTTAAAAGTTTTTTTTTTATTTGTTTAGACATAGATTGTGCTTTCCAATTAAGTAAGAAGAGAGATCCAGTAGTTTGTTGTATATTAGAATTGTTATGGTTAATATAGTCAGACATTTGTAAGGGAACAAAAGACTTGGAAAATCAAATTTAAACTAAATCTGCATGGGCAAGTTGAAGGTTTCAGCCTTAGATGAGTACCATGCACAATAGTTGAGAATAAAGTACCTTTATCTAGATTGAATGATCTCTAAATATTAGATTCATTTTATTTTTTTTTTATTTTTTTTATTTATTTATTTTTTCAACGTTTATTTATTTTTGGGACAGAGAGAGACAGAGCATGAACAGGGGAGGGGCAGAGAGAGAGGGAGACACAGAATCGGAAACAGGCTCCAGGCTCTGAGCCATCAGCCCAGAGCCTGACGCGGGGCTCGAACTCCCGGACCGCGACACCGCGACCCGGCTGAAGTCGGACGCTTAACCGACTGCGCCACCCAGGTGCCCCTATTAGATTCATTTTAAAGAGGCATCAGCTATACTAAAAAAATTTTTTTTAAATAAATAGATTGGCACTGTCATAATTTCTAAGGCTAATGTGATTTGTGAGAACATTTTCTTTGAATACAGAAAAGCAGTTGTTTATGGTTATCTAGCTTTGTTGATTTGAAAATGCTTAATGCTCATGTTCGGGGCAATAAGTAAAGATGGAAATGTCATGCTTTTTCTAAGTTTTCTCATACTCAAGAAAAAATTAATGACTTTTAAATAATAACTTTTCCTTGGTTAAGGTGGTTAATAGTGCTAAATATCAATGGACTAATACCTTTGCCAAATAAATGTTTTATTCCATGCAAAGCAGTTTGAGCCCTAAACTCTGAATTACACTTTTTGTGTAACATGTTGTTGGTAGTTATTGTCTGATGAGTCTTCCAGGTAGAGGCAAGGTGTGTCCTATAACACATTTTAGAATTGTGACTAGAAATATTTGGTATGTGGAGCTTTAAAACATTACATCAAAAGATGCATAAATGTGATACTTATCTTTCTGAAGAGTGATTTTACATGTAAGTTAAGCATTAAAACACACAGTTTTAGTTTGAGGCTCAGTTCTATTGTTCTATTAAAATACTGTAAACTGTTACGTCAGTTAGACAAATAGCTTTGTCTCCACTTAGGGGAATGAATGTGAGACCCAAAGTGATCTATTCAGAATGACTGTTAAAAATATTAATTGTCTTAAATTCTCTCCTTTTTTAGAAGTCGATGGAGTTCTGGAGTAGGTGGAAGTGGAGGAGGGTCTTCTGGAAGGTCCTCAGCTGGAGCTCGAGATTCCCGCCGACAGACCCGAGTTATTCGGACTGGGCGGGATCGAGGGTCTGGGCTTTTGGGCAGTCAGCCCCAGCCAGTTATTCCTGCTTCTGTCATTCCAGAGGAGCTGATTTCACAGGTATGGATCTTGTGGAACACTTCACACAGTCAGCAGAACAATATTCAGTTAAGTACTTAAGTGAATATACTGGGCTTTAGTCATGACTTGCAGCATGAATTGTGAAATACTGCTTCTAGAAAGCTGATTTTGATAAAAGTATAGTCACAAGAAAATTAGCATAGCACTCTTCTTTATTTTTTATTTCAGGCCCAGGTCGTTTTACAAGGCAAATCCAGAAGTGTCATTATTCGGGAACTTCAGCGAACAAATCTTGACGTAAACCTCGCTGTAAATAATTTACTTAGCCGGGATGATGAAGATGGAGATGATGGGGATGATACAGCCAGTGAATCTTATTTGCCTGGAGGTTGGTGGATCACCATCATGGTTTTCTTAGCTTTAGAGGGAGAAACTTTTTTTTGAGTGGGTAATGGCATTATAAAGTACAATGGGTTTTCTGACTGTTCTTTCCAAGGTGGTAGGTATTTCTCACTGTAGTGTTTAATTTGTAAAATACCTTTTAGGGGAAATGGGGAAATGTTTTTGCTCAGTGGACTTGCGTTCTATCCCAGTAAAGACATAGATGTATATGCATGGCTTTATCACTGTCTGACAGATGACTCTGGAAAGTTATTTTCTGATGCCCTTATTACCAAATATGTAATAATTGCATTTAGATTTTGGCTACATTATATCTATGATGTTACAAATATCTTAATAGAGATCTTTTTTTTTCTTGTGATTATTTAGGTAGCCCAAGTGACACTCATGCCTTTGATGTTCCCTAAAATCTTTGTTTAGTAACATTAACTTTATTTCCTAGGTAGTTAGGACTTTTTCCTCAGGGTATGTCAGTAGTCTGCATCTCATTCTAATCTGATTTAATTTTCAGAGACCTTTCAGTGGTCTACAGATATTTTCTGTATCTGCTTTATTTATGTTTCTTTCTGTTTATAGAGGATCTTATGTCCCTTCTTGATGCTGACATTCATTCTGCCCACCCAAGTGTTATTATTGATGCAGATGCCATGTTTTCTGAAGACATTAGCTATTTTGGTTATCCTTCTTTTCGTCGTTCATCGCTTTCCAGGCTAGGCTCATCTCGAGGTAATTTTGCATTTATTTCTTTGTGATCATTGGCTGGCTATATGGAGAGATAGTGATGGAGTTCACTATGTTTTAACTTTTAATATTGTAGTAATTATACGTTAATACTTATTACTCTTTTTGAATGCTTTGGTATTAAACTAGTTATTTTTGATTTGGAAGAGCCACAAATAGTACTTCACTTTAGAGATGATCTTATCTACATTGTGGAATACCTGTCAAGGGATTTGACTTACCTAACTGTATTTTTAATTAGGAAAATGGATTCTGAACTAAAAGCAGAATTCTACTTTACAGTGACATGCAGCATTCAGAAAACAAGTCTCTTTAGTTTCTTTGATTAAAATAAAGTGATTATTCTGTTCATTTTAAATCCTGGCTAGATGGAAGTGAGAAGTATGAAAAAATTTAATAGAAATGGGATTGGCTAATAATTAATATGTGGAAATGTATAGCTTATTAAATGTTACTTTCAAAAGTTTGAAATTCTTGAAAGGTATAGTACATAGTAGAGGTTAGAAGATTTTGAAATCCTGTGAATGTTAAGACTTTTCTCTGTATATGTTGGTATAGATTTAACTTGTATTTTAACTTTATTAAGTCAATTTTTTTAGTTTCCAGAATGTAAAACTGCTTGATTCAAAGAACAGACAAGAATCAGTTATATTATCTACTGATCATTAGTAAACTGGAAAAATTGCTATGTTTTATTAAGACCTTGCTACAAATATCGAGTACTTAAAAGCAGAGTTTAAAAATAATAAACCTATGATGATCTTACAATATACTGAACCTGTTACGTAATAGCTTTAAAAAATTTAAATAAATCCATATTTTACTGCCTTTATCAAACATTTCATTTTCAGATATTTAATATCAAGCACAAATAACTCCTTCTAAATTTCTCCCCTTTTTTTGGTCATTCGGTGTAGGCATTGCTTTTCACTTGAACCATATGAAATTGCTGCTGCTTCCATTTTGACCTGCATGGATGGCAGTTTCATATGGTTCAAGTTAATGTTGTTTCTGATCCTTCTTATCCAAGTCTTGGGAAGTATATTTTGATTACTTACTTAAAAAAAATACTGAGCAAACAAAAAACACCCCCCCCCCCCCCAACAAACTGTCTGTAGAGAGTTTGAAGGCCAATTGCAGGGGAAGCATTTTTGTAAGGAAATCTTTATCTTTCTATAAAGATAGTTAAAAAAAGAAGGCTTGTCTGTTTCTCAAAAATTTTTAAATGAAACTGACCATGAACATCCAGTCTATAAGATTACTCTGAACAAGGGCTTGAATTATCAACATTTTTATAGTTAATGTTAATGGATTTATATTTTATCCTTTTCAGGTTTTTTCCTTGTTTGTATAAGGTTTTGTTTTTGTAAGGCATTCTACTAAATACTCTTGATTTACATATGTATCTGATATGTTGAAATTCTTATTTATGCACATTATCTAGTAGATAAAGTTATGGTAACCATCTTTAATGAAAGCCAAAAATTTTTAATTCCATTAAAAATCCATTTTAAAATAAAGTAATTCTGTTCTAAAACTAGTGGTTGGAATTCAAAAAAGTCTGCCTCCACATAGTTCTCAAAAATGCTAGTGTATAATTTTCATAGATTCACTTGAAAGAGTTAATGTTTTGAATGTTGCATGTCAGGCTTACTAGATATACATTTACATTAAATTTTTGTGAGTAGATAAACTGCTGTTAGTTGCATCCTGAAGGGTCTTTACTAGAGAGTGGCTTACTTTTATCCCACTGGTGTGACCCAATTGCATACCAGTTCTCCTTCTTCCCTTAGAGAGAGACTCTGAGCTGTTGCGTGAACGTGAATCCGTTTTACGTTTACGTGAACGAAGGTGGCTTGATGGAGCCTCATTTGATAATGAAAGGGGCTCTACCAGCAAGGAAGGAGAGCCAAACTTGGATAAGAAGAATACACCTGTTCAAAGTCCAGTATCTCTAGGAGAAGATTTGCAGTGGTGGCCTGATAAGGTATTTGGAAAGATTCCCACCCTTTCCATTTAAATGGATTCCTGGCAAACCCAACTGCCTCCCTCCCCCACCAAGGTTTCTATTTTATTTCAGAGTTTTGTACTACCATTATTTAAAAAAACAAAAATTTTTTTAATGTTTATTTTTGAGAGAGAGAGACAGTGTGAGCAGGGGAAGGGCAGAGAGAGGGAGACACGGAATCTGAAGCAGGCTCCAGGCTCTGAGCTGTCAGCACAGAGCCCAATGCCGGGCTCAAACTCAGGAACCGTGAGATCATGACTTGAGCCGAAGTCAGATGCTCAACTGACCAAGCCACCCAGGCGCCCCTGTACTCCCATTATTTTATTTTAAATATTTGTTTATTTTTGAGAGAGCACGCGCAAGCGAGCATGAGTTGGGGAAGGGCAGAGGGTGAGGGGTTCAGAGGATCTGAGGTGAGCTCTGTGCTGACAGCAGAGAGCCTGATGAGGGGCTCAAACTCACAAATTGACAGATCATGACCTAAGCCGAAGTCAGACGCTTGACCAGCTGAACCATCAAGGAGGAGCCCTTGTACTACCATTATTTAAAACACTCACACACTCACACTCACACACACACACTCACACTCACACACACACACACACACACACACACACACACACAGACATAAGTGATATTTTTGTTTTGTTTTAAAGTATACATAGAACATCTTTATTTGGCACTACAGGAGTCACCTTAGATGTAGATTCAGTGGTGCTATTATTTGTTGTTGTTTTTCTACTTGATGAAGTAAATTGGAGAAATCGAAATGGTAATTCCAGATAACACATCAGCATTCTGTTTCAGAACTTCTTTTCTGGTGATAATTTTGCCAGTAACTGATAACCCTTGGTAGAAATTTGTTTTATAATGTCAAGTGGACCCCAGCTACTTCAGAGCAAGTTTGTGGTCATTGATAGAAGCCCACAAGTCAGGGCAAGATAGGGATCTGTGTTTCTTTTGACTAATTAGTTGCCCTGTTTCATGGCACTGAATTCTGACAGACCCTTTGCTCTAAATGCTGTGGGAGACAAAGCAGGCTGAACAGGAATGGACTGGGAGATCGGCTCTGCATCCTGAAAAGTACAGTGACTGGCTTCGAGAAGGCATCCAGGATTTGTTAAGTTGATTTGAATCTTTAAAAATCCATCACTGCTGCAGAGGAAACATAGTGTCTGATCCTGTTGATGCTGTGTAGGTTTCGTTGTCCTGAGTGCTTGGTAATGGCTCCTACAGGAAGCCATGTTTTTCATCTCTCTTTTGATGTGCCTTTTTCTTCTTATTTCCAGAGCCAGTGGGCAGGAAATTTTCTTAAGTAGGAGTAAAAGAACATAAAAATTTTGAGGTTAATCTCTAACAGATAAGGAGATTCTGATAGAGATTTTTTTTTCTTTTTTTGAAGTTGAATTTGCATTTGGGATATTAAAGGAAAATACTGTTTAACTTTTAAATTTATTTTTCATAGTTATTGCGAATCTTGATGTAGTTCATTTATTTTCTTCTGTATTCAGCTCATGTGGAAAGCTTGAATACAAGAAGGAACATGAATTTTAATCAGTCTCTTTGTAAGCAAAGGTTATTCTGTTTTCTTTGGCAGCTGACAAACTTTCCCTGTATTGGCATTCTCTTACTTCTTTCCATAAAACTAGACATGTCCTAAGTTCTGCTTTTATTCCATGTGGTAGAAGGTGATTTAAACCTAGGGCCTTTTTTCCCCCCTCTCTTCCGTACATTGTTCTGTGTTTCCTATTTCTCTTGCCTGGATCATATTAGCCTGTGTCTACTTCCATGTTGGCAGGAAGTAATAGAGGATTCATGAATCTTGTTTTAATAGTACCATCACATATATATTAGTCTGGGCTTCTTTATCATGTACTATTTTTGATGAATGAGTGTTTTAAACAGTACAAATCTAGCAAGTTTTTTCCCTGGCCAGCGTATGCTCTGTTAGGCTTAGACAGTCTTTGTTGCTCTTTACTAATAGGCATGTTTTTAGTACAGCTTGTTTTCAGAAACAGTTAATAAGTACATCGTGATATCTTGAGACTGTGCAGACTTAATAACACTTAATGTGTTATTTCCTTGATGTTTAGACATCAAGGAGGAATAGGAGTGTGTGAAACAAAATATATCCTTCCTGTACCTTTTTTTCCTATTAAACCCCTAATTTAAAATATTTGCACTGGAAAAGATATACTTTTTATTAGCTTATGATTGAAATTTAGATATAAAAAATGCAGTTTAGGGAGAAAATAGCTTAAGCCTAATCAAACTCTTAAGCATTATCATAGTTATCAACAAATATCAGTAGTTGACCATATTGGCCCCCCCCCCCCCAAAATTGGGGGTAGTGATCCCTGGGAAGTACAAGGGTTTTGGTGGAGGGGAGCTTGATGTGTGATCAAGTGTCAGGTGGAGGGTGCAGGGAGATAAAGGGTGTTGTCAGCATTCACTACTTAGAAGTAATGTCTCTTTCTTTCTTTTTTGGGTGAGGAGGGTTAAAGAATGCCTGCCAGCTTAACTTCAGAAATGACTTAATCCAGTATTTTTAAATTGGAAGTTTGTGTAGTAACCATAGTATCTTCACTCTTCATTGTGTTGGGGTACATGAGAAATTCCATTGGTTAATTATCTTCTGGATTAGTACTGACTTTTCCCTACTCCCTATTTAGAGAAACAGCAATTTCTTCAAAGTTTCACCATTTTGTAGGCTAATAAAGTTTCTTTCATAGTAGAATGAGTGTTCTCTTTAAGCCTTTTATAGTTAATATTGAACTGAAAATATTTCAGGTAACCTTAAACTTTAAATATTTCTATGAGTTATTCCTTGAGTTGAATGTCAAAGCTAGTATAAGAGCATACTTGGGAACTCTTGTGCACTGTTGGTGGGAATGTAAATTGGTACAGCCACTTTGAAAACTAGTATGGAAGTTCCTCAAAAAATTAAAAATAGAATTAACATATGATCCAGCAATTCTGCTTCTGGGTGTTTATCCAAAGAAAATGAAAACACTAACCCAAAAAGATACATGCACTCTCGTGTTCACTGAAGCATGTACGATAGCAAGATATGGAAATAACCTTAAGTATTCATCAGTGGATGATAAAGAAGATATAATACATACATATACTCATATATACAATTGAATTTTGTTCCACTATAAAAAAAGGGAAATCTTGCCATTTGTGACAACATGGATTGTACCTCAGTGGCATTATGGCGGGTGAAATAAGTCAGAGAAAGACAAATGCTATATGACCACTCTTATATAAGAATGTGGAATCAAAAAAACAAAACACCAAGCTCATACACACAGAGAACAGATTGGTGAGTACTAGAGGCAGGGGGTTGAAAGGTAAAAAGAAAAAGTTTTAAAAATTGTTAAGTAGGCATAAAATTTTTTCCTTTATTAATTTTTCAGTACCTTAAAAATATAAAAATTAGAAATTATTATAAGGATGTCTTCATGAAGACAGGTGAAGGTCAGTCGTTATTAATTTAGTAGCCTTGATTAAATGCATACTTCCTTTTTTTTTTGAAGCTTATTTATCTATTTTGAGAAAGAGGGTGAGTGGCAGAGGGACAGAGAGGGCAAGAGAGAGAATCCCAAACAGACTCTGTGCTGCCAGCACAGAGCCCAACGCGGGGCTTGAACTCCTCAAACCGTGAAATCGTGACCTGAGCTGAAACCAAGAGTCAGATGTTTATCTGAGCCACCCAGGTTCCCCACTGCAATCTTTGTGTTAGGCCTTTTGCTTAGGTGTTAGGGTAAGAGTTTTGTAGAAGGCAGAACAATGATATTAATGCTTTGGACTAAGTACCGTTATAGAATTAGGTACAGGAGGCTTTGGGGAATCCTAGGAGGCCAGAGTGATTGCCGAGTGTGGACTCTGGAGTCAGATTGCTGGAGTTCATATTCTGGCCCTGCCACTTACTAGCTGTGTGGCCTTGGTTAAGACCTTTAACCTCTTTGGGCCTTTGTTGCTCATGTATAAGATGAGGATAATAATGGGTTTTGCCTTGTGAGATTGTCATGAGAATTAGATGACCCATTATATGTAAAGTGTAAAGAACAAGGAGAACAAAGGGTCTTTGTTCTACAAAGAGAACAGACAGTTTCTGTAAGTCACGGATGGGTGAGACCCCAGCGGCAGCATTTGGGTATTCCAAGTGGGTCCATGTGGCAGTATTTTGAGCACTGGATTCTCTGCTGGTACAGAGTTGAGCACAAGCTGAAAGAGATATGACCATGTCCATTGTCTGACTTGGCTAAAAAATGCAAGAAATGAAAACATTTTATTGCTATAATAATGTAGCATAATAAAAAATTAATGGGTTGTCTGTATCTACCTAAGGGAGAGATGGAGGGAGGGCCTCTAAGTCCAAGTTCCTCATGTTCACAGTTGAACCAGCCAAATCTATACTGGTTTCTGCATAGTTTTACCCCAGAAAGTCAACTTTTTTATTACGCTGCCCTGCCTCTTCATCCATCATTCCTCCCTCCCTCTCCAGCATACCACTGTCCCTCATTCCTGTCCTTCCTCCTGTTTGCTTTTTGTACTTTATATTTCTGGAAGTAGCTGTGATAATTCAGTTACTTTGGTAAGAGGATGCAATCTTCCCATTAGGTGATTATCTCACAAAGCTTCATTTCATGAGACTTCTCAGTTCTGAAATTTAATTTCCTCAGACTAGAAATTTAGTTCTATGTGCTGAATGTCTACATGTAAAATGTAGCTATATATATATATTTATGCCAGCCTACTTCCAACAAGAATCTAAGGTGACTTATAAGGGAAAAAAGATGCAGCTATAGTCACGAAACACTGTTACCAAGAGAATGCACAGATAAGAGGGAATAACAGACGTGGGAGGGAGAAGGAGGAGTAATTACACAGAAATCCATGCTGAGTAAATCTGCTAAAACTGAACATAAAAACTTTGCTTTGTGCCCCATAATGCTTTCAGTTTCAAGCAC